AGTGGAACAAAGTGTTTCCGCCATGACATCTAATTAATGACAATCCTCCTGCGGAAAACAGCACCAATCCTCTCCCCACAAGAATCCTATTTAGAGTCAGGAGTAGCCATCCCACAAATCTCTGCAATCATGATTTCATCCCCCATCAATTCTCCATTAGAAATGCATCATCTCCTGGCTTATTTTCTCAAGTATTATTTTGCAACATTTAATATTGCTATTAGGATCCAAAATGTGTTTTTCTAAATTCAGCAAATCCAAGATCACATCCATAAAATCCTATATTAGCTTGCAAAGGATATTTGAATGCTGCATTTAATGTCACTTAATTGGTTTTTTAATTAAAAAACAGAAGAATTTAATCTCTTAAATATTTTTTAAATAATTTGTTATTTCATCAAACACAGCTGAGTGTCCTCTGTGATTGACATAAGGACTTATTTGCCATTTTTCTTTTTCCTATGTAGCCCAGTTTAGATTCAAGTGTGTATGAATCTGAGTAGATCAAATATAATTATACAGTCACTGACTATTTTATTAGCTGGACCTTGCTGGTTATGGTATACACTGGTCAAAGAGATGGACGTGCAACAATACTCTGGAGAGCTGTGAACTTTAAACAATGGTCAATTGGTACTAAGGGGGCCAGAGTGTGCCAAGAAACTATCCTTCACACCATAATGCCACCAACAACTGAACTTTTAATACAAAGTTGGATGGATCCATGCTTTCATCTTGTTTACAGTATACCTAATCTGACCCTTGAACTGCTGGAGCAAGAATCGAGACATAACTGACCAGGGAAGGTTTTTCCAATATTCTTTTGTCCAATTTTGGTGAGCCTGTGCCTTTTGTGTTGTAACAAGTGGTTATTTGGGTTACTGTTGCCTTCCATTCAGCTCAAAGCATTCTGGCAAATCTCAGATCGACAAGGTATTTTCACTGGATGTTTTCTCATTTTCGGACCATTCTCTATAAACCCAGAGAGGGTTACCAGTAACTCTGCTAATTCTAAAATGCTTATCATATATGCATATCGTCTCATCACCAACAACCGTGCCACAGTCATGGTCACTTCTTCCATCTTTCTTCCCCATTCTGATACTCGATGTTTACATGTCTAAATGAGTCGCTGCCATTAAATATTTCTGTTAACAAGCAGTTACACTGGTATAGCTAATATATTATCCTGTGAGTTTGATTACTTCTAAGCCACTCTGCTGTATCCTACATTATTGTGTCAGTAAAATGTGGCAGAACAAAAGAATAAGAAAATAAATATTTTCTTAAAAGGGCATCTTCGGGCCTGGGTAAAGATATATTTATAGTCTAACTCACACAATAGTGCAATCCATATAACAAAATAATGTAGCTGCAGCTTGTTTTTTCGTGACTTGATGAATCATTGCTTAAATACACTGTATTTGTCTTATTTGTGGCAGGTGCCAGTTCATTTTTTTGGAAATTCTACTATTATGAAGCTCCTAAAGAAAGTGTCAACAAGAAAGTAAGATATGAGCCAGTAATATAGATGCACAGAACATTTTGAGAGTTTAGGACCTTGGTGCCTGGCAGCCGTGAACTAAGGTGGGTTCAGTAGCTAAATTTGTGGTTTTATGGACAGAATGATAATTATGGTGATGGAAGGGAGAGTCTGTATGAGTGTGTGTGGGTGTTGTGTGGTAGGCAATGAGAAATGACAGTATGGAAAGGAAGAAAGAAAGTTATCAGAGTGAATTAGACATTAGCTGTATTGATGCCTCTCCCTTAAGCCAATCCAGCCTCTCTGCATGCACATATGGAACACAGATTTCAAGATTCACACATGCCTGCTACTCTTTCACTTGCTCTGCACAGATGTCAGTGGTGTTAAATTGCGTTTTTTCTTAAGAGTACACCACATTTCCATATCCTTCATATCGTCAAACCAGATTTCTTTGTTTATTTGTGGATATTGGAGGTTTAAATTGGCACGAAAATGTGTGTGTCCTTTGGCTTCGCAGTTTAGCTGTGTGTATACAAGATGTTAGGGAGTGTTAAGCTGAGCTGTGAATGTGTGATTCACTGTAAGTGGGAGGAAGTGGAGAAGCAGACATCATTCCTGAGGCCCATAAAAAGAAGGCTTTAAAAGGTCATTCTCTTTCTTTCTGTGGTTCTTTATTACTCTCTGTCTTTTCTTTCAAACTTTCTTTTCCTTGATGGGAAAGAAGGTTGAGCAAAAGAAAGTTTAGGGTTTCTATTGCTGTCTTCTTTCCAGTTATCTGTACATTCAGTCCATCTCCTCCCCGCCTGTCTTATGGTGTCTGCTACAAGACCATGTCCTGGAGATTTAGTGAAGTGCGTGACTGAGACTGACATCTCCCTGTTTTTCATTTCTGCTTAATTAACAGCAGCATAGCTGGAGGATTTGTAACTGCTGCTGTAGGTGTGGCTCTGTACATTGAAAAACGCTGTAGTCTGCAGGGCTGTGATGTGGCGACATGAGTTACACAATAACAGCAGCAAGTGAACTCACTCACCAGTCTCTGTGTCTTCCTGTCCTTGTCTGTTCTCTATCTCGGTCTTGGTTTGATTGTGTCTCTCTGACATCCCTGGCTGTCACTCTGCCTGCACACAAAGAGATGAATGAATCTGGCTGGCCCCTCACTTTGTCTGTTTTTCTCTCTCCTCCTCTTGTCCAGAGTTTATTGAGTTCCTCGATTTATTGTACTGATAAATTTGATCATAAACCTCTGAGCTCCACAGTCTTTTCTCTTGCAGAAGGTGATACAAAGCTTTGGCCATTTTTTAACTCGTGACAGTCAGGTTCACAAGAGCATATTGCGCTGATGTATGGTGTGTCAATATGCGATTAGCGCTGTTAAGCATAATACAAAAGAGAATGTAGATAGACTGAGGGTTGTTATACTAAGCTGTTGAAGGGTAACAAACAATCCAAATGAGAAGCACAACAAAGACAAAAAAAATGAGATGGAGAACAAGTCAGTGAAACATACAATAGCACAAAAAATGGTAGACACACACAATCTGACAAAGGCTGACTCAAACTAAATAGAATACTGTGCAAAGGTTTCCTTTATATTTTGCTAGGAAAATGGAGAATAAGGGCAGTAATTCACTGAAAAATGTACAAACATGTGCAGTTTGTACAATTCTAACAAGGTGGAAAGTCAATATTTGGTATGAACACCTTTATTCGTCAACACAGCCTAAACTCTCTTAGGCAAACTTTCTTGTCATTTCTTCTTCAGTCTTCAGGAACAGTTCTCCAGGCTTCTTAGAGGACATCCAGAGCTCTTTTTTGGATGTTGGATTCATTTTCTGTCAAAATGATCCCACACTGCTTCAGTAAAGTTGAGGTCTGGGATCTGGGGAGGCCAATCCATGTCTGATCTGCAATTTTTCTAAGAACACACTCCACAGCACGCTTTCTTACAGCTAGTTTTAGTGCAAAAATTCTATTTTATGCCTATCAAACTGTGTTATTTTTTTTTTTAAAAATTCAGCTAAAGACATGCGAACAAATCATGTACGTTTTTGACAGTCTACTAATAATTGGTATCTTGCTAAGAGGGACTTATTCAGTTAGGTTGATTGGTTCAAAGGTCATTCAACCGAACTTCAAAGTGGATAAACAAACAAAAAAGAAAACAGCCAATACCAAAAGGAGAACTGATACTCAAGACGTCTTTAAAAATGACAAGAAGTTATGGCTCTTTGGAAGCAACATATAAAGAAATTATGTTGTGAAGTGTAGCTCAAGACTTCTGTACAAGGAGGCCAGGTTAAACAGGAACAACTGAAACTAATGAGGAATGACACAATAATAGTAGTAAGTAGTAATATAGTACTTTCAATGCAGGAGAAACAAAGAATAACCCAATATCAGTAAACATAACATAAACCATTACAAGTGTGGCTCTGCCGTTTTGAATATAAATGTATAGAGGTTGTGTTTCAGTGTATCTGAAATCCAAGTTTACTTTCAAACCTCCCCTGGACAGTAACTGTTGCATTTGGAAACAGTATTTTTAAAAACAAGCCCTGCTCTTTTTCCTGACTAGACATAACAAGAAAATAAAACCTGTCATTAAGTCCTGTTGCTTTTTGTTTGAAGACAAAGAGGAAAGGCCTTGCTGCTATTATAAAATACTTACCCACATTTTAATGCCGTAGTGTTGAGAATGGCAATGAGCAGTATCAGTGAAGTGGTATTACGTGCCAGGATATGAACAGTCACAGTAAAAATCACTCTTGAGTGCGCTGCGGCGTGATAGGAGGAGAGCATTGGCCTAGTTTGAGTCTGGCGTAATTATGTAATGCTTGAGTACCTGCAGCACCAGCGGCATGACAACTTCTGAATGTAGAGGGAGCAGACAGGAACTGCACATCACTTTTCAATCCTTTTACGTGGTTTGCAAGTTAATCTCGTCTTTAGCTAGGAGGGTTTTACTGACAGTGTGCGCACGATTGCTTATTTAGTACTCGACTAACATTCTGGGACTCCCTTGTTACATCTTTTTCTCCTCACTTTAGTTTTTTCCCCCTATTTCTCCCTCAGATATTTTCTTGCTTCCTGTTGCTCTTTCTCACAATTCCAATTTTCTTCATTTACCCCCCACCCCCCCACCCCCCACCCACACCCCATTTTCCTCTCTTTCTTTCTTCCCATTCCCTCATCTTTTTCAGCTTTCACCCTCCATTCCTAAAGCCACATACCAAATGGAGGGTGACAGTATGCAGCTGTGGGTTTTGTCCTCCAGACGGCATCTTAGAAAAAGATTATCCACACAAACACACACACACTCGCAGATGCATACATATGGAGGGAGCGATCGACGCTAACCTAAGTTGCTTAGGTCGCTTCTTTCACTTATATAATAATTTTGAGGTGTAGTTTTGCTGTGTGGCTTGCACTCAGATGTAAATTTCCTTGTAAGCAGGAGGATAATGGAACAAGACAACCAACTCTTTCTTTGTTGCTTTCTCTTCCTTCTCAGAAAGCAAAGCTCCATGCTGCCTTGCAGGAGAAAAATCGTTTGAACCTTGAGTTGATCAACCACCATCTGAAGGCATCCAAGTATGACCAGGTGAGAAATTCACACATGTACTGTGCAAGTATGCATTGGAAGTACACACACAGGAAAATGAAAGAAATCAGTGAATGAGCTTGGTATGATCTGTTTTTTCTGTATCAACGATGCAGGAAAAGAAACGCACACACAGTGGCTTTGAGAAAAAGGAGCAGTCAAACGACGGAACTTGTCCATCTTGTCAGATCAATATATCAGATTGATTTCCAAATATTAACAGTGTTGAGCCACAATTGTTTTGTTTTTTTTATGTTTTGCTTTCAATTATATAATTGTTCTTGAGCAATAGTTCTTCAGGGTTTCTGAAGGTCTGTTTTTCATTGGACATTGGCTTCTTTTTCACTCACTTTCAGTCCTGTCCTCGTTCCTGGCTGGTTTCATTCACTAATTTCTTTAGGTCAATCTACAAAAGAAAATAACACATATACCAGACAGAAATGGTCTCAGTGGAAGAATGGCTATTAAGACACCATTCTTAAGCAAGGAAAACACAATGGAAGCTCTCTCATGGTTTGGGCCTACAATTCAAAATGTGTCAGATTTTGGTCCACCTTCGAAAGCATTTAATTAGCTACAGCTTAATTTTTCAGCATGACAATGATCCCGAACACACTGTCAATGCATTAAAAGGAAAAAAGTAAAACACCTGAATAGAAAAACACACAAATGAATATTATCAGTCATGGATTGACCTCCTTGGAGCTGTTATTGAAGCATTGTGGGATCATCTTGACAAAGAACAGAACCAGACGCCAACATTCAAAGAATAGCTTGAAGAAGAAGCCTGGAGAACTATTCCTGAAGACTGCTTGAAGAAATCACTAGAAAGCTCACCTAAGACAGTTTAAGCTGTGCTAAAGAATAAACACAGTCATACCAACTATTGACTTTAACCTCATTAGGATTGTGCAAACTCTTATCTACTGTATTTCCACGTATGTTTGGACGTGTTTCAATTAATTGCTGCACCTATCTCCGATTTTTCTAGCAAAATAAACAGAAAAAAGGGTTTGCTCAAAACTTGTGACGTGTTGTATACACACACACACACACACACACACACACACACACACACACACACACACACACACTACTGCTACTTTCCCTTTCCTAATATTGTGCTTTTACTAATGCTGGCTCCCTGGTTTCCTGACTTCACATACTGATACATACGCATGCACACAGACCCATAAAGAGAGACAGTGACCGTTTGTGATGGTAGGCGATTAGCTGCTCTGGCGCTAATTGTGACTTTCACAGAGGGGACAGATCTGACATGTGTCCAGGGACTCAGCTCAGAGCTTTTGCTCCAAAGTGTCACAGAAAACGATGCCATCTGTTCACCGACAAGGTGGCCACGGAGATGAAAAGAAAGTGGGGCAAATGTGTGTGCAGTCCTGCCACATATACTGTATAACTGAGTGTGACTGGCTTGTAAGGGCAATTAAGACAAAGGCACAGTGAAAATGTATTTACGTGTGCATAAATAGATAGTGAATTAATGACAAGGGGAGAAGAGAACGACAGAAGCTGAGAGTAAGAAATGAAGAGACGGGAAACAAGACGGGGGATGTGATTAGAGAATCAGAGTACATAAATTGCATTTGCTTCGTAGGATCTTTGATAGATTAGAGAGAACTGATCAACTTAACTATTTTATGTTTATCACAGAAGCAGTGTTATTTTGATTGCTCAGAGTCGTTAGTGGTAACTTTTCTTTTAGCGACTGAGTTTTTAAGAAATATCAGACATATAACTCATTAAATCGAAATGTTAAGCAAAGAATGTTGAATAAAAAACAACTCCTTTGCTTGTCTGGTTTAATTAGTAACATCAGCAGTGACACAATTGATCTCTAAATAAAATGATTAGATAAAATAGAAATATTCATCCGTGTTAAGCCGCATGTATCTTTGATGTACTTCTAAATGTTATTTTTGTGAGTAAGCTTATCTATTGTGTCTCTCATCTCATGCTAATTAACGAGATGATAGGTGTGGTTCAGCTCAGTCCTTTGAGGAACCGGCTTAGCTCAAGGCCTCTGACCGATGAAGAGACGAGCGGCAGAAATGCTCAAGTCAGCAACGCTGTCTCATCAACGCTAAATGAAAATGTGCTGATTAATTTCTCTTCAAACTGTGAACTCTCAATCAACCCTCGAGCCACAAAAATGCAGCCTCTATTCATAAATGTGAAAAGTAGGTCTGCTGCAAGAACAAACCTCATAAAAATTGCATGCTTGTTTTGCTCTTTATAAAACAGACTGCATTTTGAGACTCTTCAAGTAAAACAACGACGACGCAATTAAAGTGTTTTCGTTCTTCGCTTTGTTGTGGTTTTCTCTTTGCCTCTTTTGCTGCTGACCTTTTTTTCTTTTCCACCCACAGTTATTCAAATTCATGTTTTAACAATCCACTTAACCTTCGCTTGTTTCTCATCTATCCCTTCGTTGTGTCTGTGCTCAATTCATGATTCGAACTCTTGCAGGTGCAATCCGACTATGATCGGCTGAGACAGACTTTTGCTGTAGTGAGTCAGGAGAGAGACGTGGCCCAGGAGCAGAGGAGCCAACTCCAGGAAAAAGTGGATAACCTGGAACACGTTTTAAAGGTGGGACAAATTTTTTTGCCTTAATAATATCAGATTTGAGTTCCTCTGTGCTATTTGACCACACATAAACCCCTGGACTAAAGATTTCACTCATTTCTTGTATAAATTTTATTGTCTTACCTACTTTTCGCACAGATTTCAGATGTAATTACCTGTAATTATTATTCAGTTTCTGTGCATTTATTTGAGTCTAAATTTAGTTCAACAGACCACTAAACAATCTGTAAAGTCAACCACACACCTGTTGTACCTATGAGTAGAAGATGTGATGACCCAAGCCTAAACCACCTTTTCTTGCTTCTTTTTCTCCATTACATCAATCCATCTCACTCCATTTCTCCAGCATTCCCATCTTCTTCATAGTCCAACATGTGTTCACTTCAGTAGTCCTCACACCAGTCACGATAACTGATTTTTCAGGCCCAGTTTTACTGTCACTCTTTCGGAAATATTCCCATTTCCCATGCATTTGTGTCCTCAGAAAACCTGAGAAGGAAACTGAGGCAATACATGAGGTGTAGTGTCACCGGCTTCATGGAAAGGCTGTTTTCTTTATTGTGTTCTGGTCTGCCAATAGTAATCAGACACAGTCTCGCTGCACTGCGAGAGGGACTCTCATTACAAATCCTCGCCTCCCTGCATCTCCTATCGATTGTGTGTCTGTCAGGATATTTGAGAGCGAAATGTACCCGCATGAGAAAAACTGACCAGCTCCCCGATACAGCAGAGAAAGCTTTGTCACTTTCTCATTGTGCATTGATTATGGAGACAAAGAAATAATTTAGAGAAAATTACACAGGATAATGTGGGTGGAGAAAGCAGAGATGGTAGAAACACAGTGTGAAAGAACAGAAAAAGACCTGGTTCAAAACTAATGAGATGCAGCACTGTCTGTGTTATTTTTAATCATATAATCTGATAACAAAAGTTTTCTTTTTGTTGTTTGTTTTGGTCAAAGTCTGGTATACAAGTTAGAACACAAGGTGGGAGGAAATAATTATTTGATCCCCTGCTGAATTTGTGAGTTTGCTCACTTACAAAGAAATGAAAAGTCTCCAATTTTTATGGTAGTTCAGTGTTAATGCAGGCAGACAGAATATCAACCAATTATCCAGAAAAGAATAGACATTTGATCCTCTTCAACCCAGCCTGAATTCTGGCTCTCACCGATTGGGTGTGTTTGGGTCTGGAGCTCCATGCAAGATCCTGATGAGAATGATCGTGAGAAAGGTGGTGGATCAGACCAAAACTACATCGGAGGTGTTTGTTAATATTCTAAAGGCAGTTGAGACCACAGTCACCGAGGACACCAATGGTAACACACTTTGGCATAATGGATTAAAGTCTTGAAGCAACTGTAAGGTCCCCCTGCTCAAGGCCACATGTACAGGCCCGACTTAAGTTTGCCAGTGAACATCTAAATGATCCAGAGAAGGCTTGGGAGGCAGTGCTGTGGAGAGATGAACCCAAAATCAAGCTCTTTGGCATCAACTTGTTTGCCATACACGGAGGTGGAAACATATTCTTTTGGGACGTTTTTCTCCAGAGGGTGCAAGACAACTTTACCACATTTAGGGGCCAGTGGTTTGGGCCTCGTACCACGAAATCTTGGATGAGAACTTAGACAGCAAGAACACTAAAGATGGGTTGTGGATGGATCTTTCAGCATGGTAGTGACCCAAACCATACCACCAAGGTACCATAGGAGTGGGTAAAGAAGGAAAACTTCAAGGTCATGATCTCTTAGCCCTGCGATGTTTGGAAACCTGGTAACCAACTACAAGAAATGCTGCTGTGCTTGCCAACAAGGGTTTCTCCACAGAGTACTAAGTCATGTTTTCCTCATTTCATTCAATGTCGTGCAAATCAATTTATAATTTTCACATAATTTGTTTTTTCAGGATCTTTGGTTACTATTCTGTGTATCCATTACAATGGAACTACTATAAAAATGAGAGACTGTTAATTTCTCTGTGAGCAAACATACAGAGGATCAAACACTGCTGTCTTTAACCTCCTAAGACCCGAACTCTTCCACGACATGCATTTTTAATTTCTCTTTGATATTTGGGCATATTGGGACCCAATGAATGTAAAAACAAAGAATTACCAGATTTTTTTTTTTTACCTTATTTTTGTTTTTAAGAAAAATAAGAGCCACATATGAGGATATTCGTTTAAAACTGCGATAGAACAGTAGCAGTATAATGTCCCCGTAAGTGGATATCAGGCCCTTGCAGAGCAAAATTGAGTATTTTGGTCTAAATAACCCAAAATGTGATGTCCACATATGTGGATGTCAGGTCCTAAGAGGTTAAAGCGAGCAACCAATTTAACTAGGAAACAGATTTTTTTTTAAAAAGAAAAAACCCCACTATATTGTATTTAGTAGTTTTTTTTCTTATCTGTGGCCATGGCTCATGTTACACTTACAAAACAGAGTTTAAGATGGTAAGATTTTCATTGGCAGTGATCAGAAGGGACAGGATTAGAAATGAGAACAAACATATAAACTAATAATCTGCAGTGACATCAGACCTTTGTTAGACATGTATGTGTGTCAACAGAGGTAAATCCAGAGTGTAGTCTTAAAAATTGTGAATTATAGTATTATAGTATAGTATATAGTATAGAATTATAGCGTGACTATAGTAATGTGATGGAGAGCTGACCATTATCAGGCCGTGATTTATCTTCCAGTTGGATTTTGGGGACCTCCTGGCTTTTGTTTTGGTATACTGTTGACAGATGTTTTTAATTTGCCAGTGTCTTCCTCCTCATTCAGTAGAGACACAACCAGTTTATGGATGTTGACAAGTGAGACTGTCCCGAGGAACAGCCAAAGCATTAGCTCCAAATAAAGTCTGAAACTTCTCAACAGCAAATATCAGGTCAAGCCTGAAGTTTTTGACAATAATTTTAAGTCAGTTCATAAGACGTCATGAGTTTTATAGGCAGTCAGTTGCATTTTTTTTTCCAGGTGCCTGATGTCACGTGCTTTTAATGCCCAGTTAAATAGAGTCTGTTTTGATTCCTGTCTCTAATAAGTCAGCATCTTTCTTTTGCTGTTTCAATCCAGTCTTAGTCAACTTTTCAAGGCCTCGAGTCCACATCAAGCAGTGTAGACCTTGGATAACTCTGCAGTAGTCCAAGGGTTGGAGCTGTTTGAAATTGTAATAAGTTAACTAAAGCAGATAAAGTGAAAGATTGCAGATCTTTTTAAAATGACAAAACGAGGTGTTTAAATGCAGGCGTGACCATTGGTTCCCGTGTGAAAAAGCAAGGGTTAAAAAAGCAGTTTCACTAAGGCTCCAGTGACAGCCTCTCAGCTACCCCGGTCCTCTGCAGCTTAGAGCTTCTCCATGATTATGCAAAGCAGCGACTGGCTGCTCAGGACACCTCGAAGCCACTCCCGGAGGTAAAGAAGATTTTCTTTTTTCAAGGGAGAAAGAACAGGGAAAAAAATATGAATGTCAGAGCTTTCTAAGCTGTCTTTTCTTCTTAAGCTCACAGAGACATCCTATGGCCTTAATTCTGTTTCTGCAAGATGTGGCAGCTGGTTGTGACTTCATGCATAGATACTGTACAGTCATGACTTGGCTAATTTGGCAAAGGGTAGATTTGGATCAGGAGCGACTATGCGTGACAGCTTTGTGTAAGTCAGTGCAGACTATAGAGTATGTTTGGTGCCAGAGATATATATGTTACAGAAGCCAGTGTTACTTAATGCTCTTCTCTTCACGTACCTTGCCTCTTAAGTGACATCGTATGTGAGGGTGCAAAATCTTTAAACTTTAAACAACCAACATATAATGTGCTAATTACTAAGCTTAACGGGCTGCTAGTTGGCAGATCTCTAAACTGTCATATAGAAGCAAGCTGTTTTCTTCCACTTCAGCCTTAGATAAACTAGGTGGTAATTGGTATTAATATTTTTATCCAACTCTTGGCAACCTTTCAAATGAATTGCTTGGTTTAATCTTTGAGGATTAGGCAATGCTTCACTTCAATTTGTGGGATTTATTACACTGAAGCTGATGCAACAACACTGTGGCTATTCCTATTTTTCCAAGCAGTCCTCATTTTTCCTCAGAAATGGATGCAATGTCGCTAAATCAGGTGGACAGGGCTCAGATTCCTCAAAAGCTCTTGCCAGAGTGGTAGAGAGAATAGATTTACTCGATGACATTGAAACGTGAGAATACTGTTTTCAACAAAAGATTGCAGCTGGGTAATTTATTATTTTTGCAGTAGTGTTGGAAATAATCTCTCCTCCTTCTGCTTCCTCTGTTTCTTCCTAGCATATGCATGAGGCTGTAGAGCTAAAGCAACAGTTGCAGACAGAGCATGAGCAAGCCTTGGTGGCCCTTCACACCAAGCAGAAGGAGATCAATCAATTGCAAAAGGTATGTTTAAAAACCGCTTTAAGTCTATTCTTTTAATACTTTTGGCAGAATCCCTCCTTGGTTATCAACTTTTGTGTAGTGAATTTATGCCAAAGGTCTTTGTTTGGATAATGATGTGTCTTGAGCCACTTTATGCTGAATCACTGCTACTGTATCAGAAAATACAGATACCTCATATAGCCCGCCCCAAAATCAGCAGATGTGATTACAAATGCAGCCATGGTCCCTTTGATCGTGTGATGAAGAACACGGCTAAAAATGCTGCGTTTGTAGTTGCTGATATATTTGTACACATTACAAATATCTTGCAGCATGAAGATCTGACCTGTTGTGGTTGTTTTATTCTTTTTTGATATTTCGTAAAAAAAAAGGATATACATGTGCGCATGTGTTCCTGCTTACTGTTTCCTTCCTATGATGATGACTGAAATAATATCAAATACCTTCTGGATTAGACCACAAGTTTAACATGATGAAAAGTGTCTCTTTCTCGGAAGTCTGTGAGGTTTGTTTGTCTCATTTTGGTCCCATTTTTGCATTGATGTTTGTTCAAAAGAGAATCATTAATGTTCAAAGATGCAGATCATTCAAACTGAGACAAATTGATTTGCACAGTCGCTCAAGAGTGGGTTTAATTTCACTGCCTTTAACAGCCAGTACTTGGACACTAACATGTCCTAAAATAAGCCAGTTGCTTTTTATTGGAGCTGTACCATCAGAAGTAGGCATCTCTTCAAGTACCAGCTCTGTTTGATGAACCAGTGAGCATCCGCCAGGGTATTGCGTTGACAGTATGTCAGCTGTGTACTGTCTATTCTACCTCATGGACCGTGATCACAGTGTCAGCTGTCATTGTGTGTTTCTGTGTGTTCTCTGCAGGCTTGGGTTCAAACTGACCAAGAGCATGAGGAAGCAGTACACCTGTTAGAGGTACAGTAAGCTGAACAAACCCTTATGTTTCCTGGATTGCTGTGTTTCTTAAACATAGTGGAGCTTTCTGTTTTAACCAGGCGAATCAAAACACATCCTTAAGATGGTTCATGTAGTATTGGGTCAGTTTTCCAGATGAAATAAGGGGAAACATGGATAAGTTGGTGATGAAGCTCTCCTTTTTGGAACATATGGAAAAGACTCGAAGCTTGTCTATGTATCAAGTTAGCTGCTGTAAAACATCCTGTCTGGCTCTACTACAGCACCCAGTGCTTTGAACTAGCCTTGAACTTTTAGCTTCAGTTTTAGCTTTATGGTTATTTCCATCTTCTTTTCTGGAGCAGGAAGTGGCCATATTTAAATGAGATAGTGGAGTGTTAAATTATAAACTAAGGCCAGTAATCTTGATTGTACATATATCTATGGGTGCAGTGTGGAGACTTCTTCGATTGTTTTATAGTATAACAACTGCACAGCAAGCTATATTAATTGTCTGATATATTAAAAGTACTGTAAGAGGCACAAAGACACCACAGAGATGGTCAAAATGTCCAACGCTGGGCTCTAAAAGTGAGAATTTTAGGCTATGTCCACACGTAGGGTGTTTGCTAAAACTGAGATTTTTCTGAGGTCATTTTGAAAAACATCTCAGTCCAAATGTAAATGCAAAGAGCGATCTACTGTCTGTCAAGAACATGCCAAAGCAACAAGCTGCGATATAAACGTAACTGGGAGGAAATGTTAGCTAATCAAAAGCTCACAATCTGACATCAAAAAGGAGATGAAAGCGCACACCTTTGATGTTGCAAGACACAATATAGAGTTTTTCTTTCCAACATTCAATTGTGTAAATGCAGAAACTTGAAGGTTGTTTTTTTTTTTTTAATCTTCACCCCAGCAGTTTTTTTTTTTTTTTAAATGTCTGTTTCCAGTGCAGTTCTTTAGATATTTTATCCTGGGCTAACATCAACCAACACTGCCATCCTCAGAGCCATTCTACATTTGGGGCTAAAATAAAATAAGCGAGGTATATTTGTCAAACGAATGTATTAGTTTAACTGCGTGACTCACACCCACACCATCTTCAGTAATCACCTCTGCTGAGCCTGAAATCGAACGCAGAGACGCAGGAAATTATTTAAATTAAGTAAATTGAAAAGTGACGTTTCTTGGACTAACTAGTGCATTTAAACTGGCAACACATTAAGAGAGATGTTAAAAAAAGGCACCGTCTGCACACGCCTACGTAGGCCTTCAACGACGTCTAATCAGGCTAATTGAAAACAGCTGCGTGGGTGGACAAGCAGAGTTTTAATGTGGAGCCATACGACGCAAGTTTATTCTAAACTTGAACTTATGACACATGGGTACCGTTGGGGTTCTGGACTCTCTTCTAATGAAGTCCCATAAGTAAGTTTCCCCCCGTCTCTCTTCCAGCAAAACACTTATCTGCTTGGCTACACTATTGTGTAGTTTTTTCCAGTACTCCACACCAGATTGTGACTCATACATCAGACTAGTCAGACAATAGCGTATCCTTTGTGCTTGCGGTCACATTTCTATCTTCTTATTCAGGCTGCTTTTGTTATAGCGCTCCAAACGCTTCTGTTTAGTAGTTGCGTTGTCACGCGTTGCATTGACGCTTCACGTCCCCCCCCCCCCGGATGGTAATCGTTGACCCGCTGTTTCATCACAGACCTCTACTCAAAATTATTTTCTCGTCTTACTTTAAATCCTTTTGCTACGAGAATACGTCGCAGACTCCTTTGTGTGCGGCTCATATGAGGTCACGTTATTATCCATCTGGAGCGCTCTAATACGATTTTACTGAGCAAGCAGACTGAGTTTGGCTCAGAAAAAACAGTTTGGTCAGAGAAATTGAAACTCTGTCAAGGAGATCTCTTCCTAGAAATCCCTGAATCAGTTGGTCTCTTTCACAGGCGCGTTTCTCTATAGTTATGGGCAAATATGGCCACAGGAGGGAAAGCATAGTTGTGCTGTCTGTAGGTGTGAAATCCCCATATGTTTTCCACTCTGTGTTTTTGTGCTTAGGAGTCCATTTCAGTTTGACAAACACATTTGTCTTATTTTTTTGTCGACTCATAAATACATTTGTGTTCTCATTGGTTCCCCTTCCGTTTGCTTTTATTAACGATTGGTTCTTTTTGCATTTTTTTCCTTTCTTTACTTACTACTTCTGATTTCCACATTTTGTCTGAACAGAACAATAAGGACAGAATGTTTCAGGTATTTATTTTCATCCCTGATTAGTTAGTTACATCACCCTTTCTTTCCTCTTCGAATTTTCCTTTAATTGCAAACCTGTGAAACCAAAATTATATTCTGTATCACCAAAAGTGATTATATGTATATTCACGCTTTCCCCTCTAGGCCTTCCTCTGATAGCATGTCTATGATATAACTTCATGGAGTGCTCAGGCTTGGTTATCACGATTTAACCATATCAGTAAATGACTCTACACTTCCACGTGTTTAGATTAGATTGCTAGACATTCAAAATTATATACTGCCAAAGCCCAGAAGAATAATCACCTTTCACCTCTCATTCTTTTTTTTTTCTTTTTTTTTTCCTCTCAGTCTTCACAATCCTTACTGCTCTTTTTTCTTAACTGCCAAAGGTCAAGGTTCGTGACCTGGAGCAGGAATGCCGGTCACACAGTGAACACTTTCACCAGCTGTCCAAAGAGCTGCTGAATTTCCGCCTCCAGTCGGAACCTGTGAATATCCCTAAAAGTAATACCACCTCTGCATCCCAGATCCCGCCCTCACCACAGAAGAAACTCTCGCAGGTCAGATTCGAAGCCCAACCAGAGACAGGTGAGTCTCACCTCACAGGCAGCTTTGTATGAAACACATTGAGCCATAAAGGCAATTATGAGGCTGGGGAACGGGGACATATCAAAACAAATCAAAAGTCTTAGAAAGTCAGTCCCTGATTTTTATTTATTTATTTATTTTTCTCAGTTTTAGCTGAGCGGTTTTATGTGTTTACTTGAGTGTGAGTGTGGTTCTGTGAGTATTAATGTAACTGTGTAATATAAAGTGGTGATATAAAACTGTAGACTAGCAGGGTTAAATATTAGTGGGGTCTAACTATTCTAAAAACACATGTGCTCTCCAGATAAAAGCATCTGCGAAATTATTAGTGCTTAAAAGGGTTATGATCAGATAAAATGATAATTAGTGATCTAATCCCCAGACAGCTCACATTACAGCTGGACCCACTCACTGCAAACCAGAGGTGGATACCATTAATGGAGACGGTGCTTATTCATGATCAATATCTGCCCTTGATCACAAGCCTGATGTACGACACGAATGTAATTTAACACATTAGTATTCTAACAACACAGTGCAACCTGCAGATACAGCAAATAGAGCCGTATCAGTGATGTAGATTTATACAGTCTGGCACAAACCAAAGGTCTTTGAAGTGCTGAAAATCCTGTTTTATCTGTCTCTTCACTTCGGGCAGAATTCACTGATGTTTTTGTGCTAATGCATAATATTACATACAAACCACAAGAACGCAGTGATGCACTTGATCTGTGTTGTTTACGTATCGTTAATTTCTTCAGGGAATTCCGTTTTGTGTTTTCTGCATTTTTTTTAAGTCTGTTTTGCCAATAGGATGGGCTGATAGGGGTGGAGTAGCCTTCCAAATGAAGGGTGTTAGCTGTACCCGCAGGAGATCAATGGTTTTGCTCCAAAGAGCGCGAAATGGTTGTGGAAGGAAAAGGCAGTTACTCTTTATTTGCTATGGAAATCAATGTCTCCCAGGTGATGAGAGTGCGGCAGACACGCCGCTGCTGATATCCCAGTTCTTGCCCTGCTCACCGCAGACTGGAGACGGAGAACCACCAGAACTGCTGTCTGTCAAATCCAGCACCGTGACAACGGACCACCCCATCCACCCCCGACAGTTTCCCTCATCAGAGGTGGGTCTGTGTGATGCCACATCCATGAATAATGCATGCATAACCTATTATGTTAATTGTTTTTAAATAATTAACTTACATATTCATATCTTGAAAAGGAATGGTTCAAGAGTTGCTGCAAACTGCTAATTCTTAAATATGCTGTAGGAAAGTCGCTTATCCCTGCTAATAACACTTTAATTTGTTCCTCTCATTTATCTATAGATGGAGGATGAGGCCAGCCCATCACCCAGGTCCAAATCTCGCTACACAGGCCAGGTCCGCCTTTGCACTGCCCGTTATAGGTGCATAAGACAAGTTTAAATACAGAAATAATTTCATTTTGGGTTTTAACGCGCATTATCTTTAATTTTCCTTCACAAATGAATGAAAAACCTTTCTTTCCTTCAAGTTATAACCCTTACGATGGACCAAATGAGCATCCTGAAGCAGAACTCCCCCTTGTGGCTGGAAAGTATCTGTATGTGTATGGAAACATGGATGACGATGGCTTCTATGAAGGTGAGTCGTACACAACACACATAGAGCATTTGAAGCGGTCTGTGAGGCGATATGTGCTTCTGGCTCGATAAATCAAATTCTGGCAAAAATCTGAAAATACTGCAACAAATTTTCTATTTGGGAGGATAGGTTTTCTTCTGTTCAGGCCTGCAGTTTTGCCTGAGTGCTTGTCTGCTGATGCTGCCTGACAGTGAAAACAAGTGTATGCATCATTATGTATTGTCTCAAAAACACAAAAAAGACACAAAAATGCCGAGTAGTGTGTGTCAGCTGGCATTTATTCTCCACTGAAGTTGTTTTGTCTTTCACCATCGTATTTATGTCTGTGGCGTTTTTGACTGTAGCATGTAGTAATAATAATAATAATAATAATAATAATAGATTGCATTTATATAGCGCTTTTCGGGACCCCTCAAAGCGCTTTACAATACCACTATTCATTCATTCTCACATTCATACACTGGTGAAGGCAAGCTACAGTTGTAGCCACAGCTGCCCCGGGGCAGACTGACAGAGGCGAGGCGCCATCGCGCCATCGGCCCCTCTGGCCATCACTGGTAGGTGGTAGGTGAAGTGTCTTGCCCAAGGACACAACGACCAAGACTGTCTGAGCCAGGGCTCGAACCGGCAGCCTTCCGATTACAAGACGAACTGCCAACTCTTGAGCCACGATCGCCCTACTGCATTGCACCTACAGCACACTGTGCAGTAAGTGGTATATGCAAAAATGTTGTATGTGTAGAATGACACATTGTATCTGTGATGCATTTTGTGCCCCTGCAGTCTCTTTACATTATGTCGTGTTATGTAATGATACAGCACAATCTAAACGTAATGCTGATGCAGTCATTTTTGTAAACGTGCTGCAAGGACTACTTGACAGGCTTTGTCACCCTGATATAGAATAAGTCCGTCATACATACTAGTTGGCTACTTTCATCGCGTGACTTCCACTTAGTCAGTGCGTGGTGTCATGAAGAAAAGTTTCCCGACACTTTTTCATAACTGGTGGCTGGACTCACTCTCTGTATAATCTCTTTATAATTATGAAGGCTTCTCCATCAGAGGCAATCCTAATCCCCCTTGCTAGCAATCCTGCAGCCAGCACAGACCGTCATAGAAAGCCCTGTGATTCATTAGCTGTGTGCAGTCAGATTGCATGGTATTGCAGACGGTCCCTGTATTTACCACACAGGAGGGGCGACTTGGGCTGCATACCAAGCTGTTGTCAGGATGGGGACCTTGGTCTCTTAGTTTGATGACTAATCCAGCAGGGCTCAGCTTAATCATCAGCACACATAAACAACAAACACACTCGCTCAGATACACTTGTAGAGACACACCAAGATGGTCTTAAGGCCCCCCAGGCCTCTGTGGAAAAAGGGATTGAAGGACGAGATGATAGGGAGCTTTGTTGAAGACAAACTTATTGCCTTGGGGAAAAACTACACTGCAAATCTAAGCACTTTCTTTTCTTTCTTTTTTTTCTTCATTGACCGCAGCATCTACGTACTCTGGGGTGCTCCTGGAAATGTTCAAACGCTGAGGTCCTTAGAAATGTTGAAAGGAGTGTTTTCTAAGTTGTGTGTTGGAGTATGAAAGATGGCATCAGAGAACCCGTGGGGAATCTTACATCTTAGGGAATAGAACATGCTGTATGTTTACATATCTTCCACCTCTCACTCAGTGACTCATTCTCACCTTGCAGGTTAAAAAAAAGAAGAAGCTCTCACCGATTTATGTGTTTAAGTTATTGCTTTGCTTTTGTCTTTGTGTTGTGAGAGAAGCCTAATTTTAACACTTACAGGTGGCATCAAAACAGAAAGTTTTTCCTAAAGAGACATTTATTAAATAGTAGCAGGATTTTCTGTTATCTACTTTTATTCTTTTTAACTAGAAATATCAATTTAAAAAATGAATAACATATTTCTGTTATTTTCTACCTTTGTGTCTGTACTTGTTTATGCTTGACAGGGGAGCTGCTGGATGGCCAAAGAGGACTTGTTCCTTCCAACTTTGTGGAGTTTGTCCAGGACAAGGAAAAACCAGGCATTCAGGCTGGAGACGCAGGGGAAGATCTCAGCTCACTTGAGCACACATCCCTAGCCTTGATGGCTGTGGATGGAGGTGCCTCCCAGGATGGCCTTCTGAGCTCAGCAAACGCTTTGGTTCACTGTAGCAATGGGACAGGTGGGGCCTTGGATCCTGAGGACCTGGCGGAAGACGTTGTGCCTTACCCCAGAAAGATCACCTTGATCAAGCAGCTGGCACGGAGTGTCATCGTGGCCTGGGAGCCTCCACTAGTGCCTTTGGGCTGGGGGAACATCTCTAGCTACAATGTGTTAGTAGATGGGGAGCTTCGTGCCAATATACCATACGGTGGTCGGACCAAGTGTTTGCTGGAGAAGCTGGACCTGGACGGCTGCGTCCACCGTGTGTCAGTGCAGAGTGTCACGGACCGGGGCTTGTCAGATGAGCTGCGCTGCACCTTGCTAGTGGGAGCCAATGTGGTGGTGGCGCCGTGCGGTCTGCGCGTCGATGACATTCAGCGTGACACTGCCGAGCTCTCTTGGTTGCCTAGCAACAGCAACTATGCTCACACTGTGTTCTTAGACGGGGTAGAGCACGCAGCGGTAAAACCGGGAAGGTATAGACTACGGTTCCACAACCTGAAGCCCCTGACAGTTTACAAAGTGACGGTGGTGGCGCAGCCCCACCAGGTGCCGTGGCAACTGCCGCTGGAGCAGAGAGAGAGGAAGGAAGCCGGCGTGGAGTTTTGCACTCAGGCAGCAGGTCAGAAAGGTTTATTATTATCCACAGAGATACTGTATCAATAATGCACAGCTTAATAGCTGGCGATTACTTTCACATGCTTCTAAGAATCTTAGTTTAACTCTCATATGCAAGATCATGTACTGTAATATGAATTCTAATGTTATTGTACTCTGCTCTAGAATAGTATAGCGTCACATTTCTTTACCATGTCGTTGTTGTGTATTGTATTTTGTCTAGGTCCAACACCATTTTGCAGAACAGGTCAGAACAAAGCTTGAGGGGTTGGTTTCCCATATATTCAAGCACTAAACCTAATGGATGTCATTAGTGCTCTGACACATTTTGCAGGGAGGGTGACTGTGCCATGTTGTTCAGCATATGCAGTTTATTATGAAATGTGGGCAAAATGGCATCTTATTCTGGTTCTGAGATTGAAAACCTTTTAAAAACAAGTCTGTCATTACATGTCCTTTGAAAATGCACAATTTGTTGTTCGAAACCAAATTTGTATGCAATTTTGCCCAAGTTTGCTGCACAGTGCACTTCACTAATTAGAGAATACCAGAGCAGCATGAGATATGATCAATAATTACGATGAGTCATTTCCTCAGCCTATAGCCTAGCCTGACATAGCCAGTTCTATATAAAGCGGTGCCCCTCCACTGCTCACTGAAATGACCATTTTCTATCAGTGTGCATTTGCTTCTGCTCGAATGCAGTTGTGCATGTTTCAAAGAGATCAGAAAAAAGAAATGCTGAGCTCTAATCAGGCTCTCTGCATGTGGAGACAGCAGTGTATATCTCGGGGCAACCCTTAAAGTTTTCATCTCTTCCAAAGATTACTGAATGGTTATAGTAGAATAGCATATATAAGGAATACAGACCTAAAAATATAGGTCTGTATATAAAAATAAAAATAAAAATTTCATTTTGATTTATCTGACAATCATCTTGGGTTAGGAAATATTAGTGTTGTGCAAAAACTCACCATACACTTAAATGACATTGTCTAAACACAACACGAAGTGTTTTGTGAATGTTTCCCACCAGCAATGTCATGCTATCAAGTAGCCCGCATGAACTGTGTATCTCTGCAAAATACAAATAAGCTGTTATGTAATTTCATAAATTTAGATATGCAAGTCAAATTATAACCCCACCCCCCCCACCCCAACCTCACGTCCTCATTTCCTCCTTTGTGTCTGGGCATTTCTGTGCATGGTGGTGTGTGTGTGTGTGTGTGTGTGTGTGTGTGTGTGTGTGTGTGTGTGTGTGTGTGTGTGTGTGCATCTAATGAATGCTTCACATCATTCCCCCTCTCGTTTGTATCCTACATGTACTAAATCAGTAAACCGTAAGAGATTATTTTTCTTACACACTGGATTGGTTACCTCCCAGGGCCTCCGCTGCCACCCCAGGATGTTCAGGTGCTCTGTGGGCAGGCTCCAGGGGTCCTGCAGGTCTGCTGGAAGCCCCCCAACATCTCTCCCACAGGCACATCCAATGGGGCAAATGTCATTGGTTACGCAGTCTGCACTAAAGGGCAGAGGGTGAGTTAGCATGTCTAGGTCTCGCCTGCCTGGACTAGTTTACTTTTTATATATCATTCTTTTTAAAAGGATATGAGTGATCACACAGAGCTCATCTTGATTTAAAGGCATTGCTCATGATGTATTGTGTTCTGTTATGAGAAACTACAGTAGTTTGTGGCTAAATCCTAAGCATATGGGATGTATATTCCTAAGGTCTACATGCTGTACAGTATTTACAACACTGTGAAATGTTTAATCATGCGTAATCCAGTCAAAACATGAGAATATACACCACAGATGGGACATTAACAGCGTCTGCCTTTCAGCGTGGCATTATGTCATCATTACCATCAGTTCACTCAGCAATGCCACCTACTTGTAATTAACGTGCGGTGCAGGTCTGGGTCTTGGAAAGGTCTCTCGCTCCCTCTGGTGACTGCTAAAGTAAATCATCACAGTAAACCTGAAAGGGAAAATCAACATTCAGCCACACTGGGCAGAAACCTGTTTTTGAGCTGCCCCTGCAGGTGGAAATCTTAAGAGCATTTTTTTCCCACCATAATAAATCAAATTAAAGAGGTATTTTTGTTAGTTCAGTGAAATCACTTATTTGGCACTAAAAAGTGCAGGGGGCTAATCAAATTTCAGCAGCTGGATTTGTCCATTTTTGTTTTGGATGTATTGACTCTGATACTGATAATGTTTTAGTTGTTGTTCAAATGAAACTGCAGCCACTGTTTATGTTAACATTTATTTATTTTTTTCTGGCTCTAGATAGCTGAGGTGCTGTTCCCTATGGCAGACTATGTTACGGTTGAACTGACAAGGATTCAATGCCTCGAGGCCAGGGAGGTCATCGTTAGGACACTGTCGGTCCAGGGAGAATCCCAGGACTCTCAAGTTGCTGTCATTCCAAACAACCTGCTTGTGCCTCTACCTCCGCTTCCCCTGCCACCACCAGTGCATCCTCACACGGGCCCCCCTCCACACCCCCATACTCAACCTCTCCTCCAATCCCCTCACCTTCCTCATCCCACACCCCAACTTCCCGCTCCACCACATGGACAACAACTGCCGCCCCGTCCTCCCCATGCTCAACCCCATCCCAGACTCCCCCATCAAGGTGGACCCCCGCAACCCCAGCTTCGTCCTCCCCATCCCCATCCGCAGCCCTTACATCTTCAGCCTCGTCCACCCCACCAAGGTCCCAGGCCACAGCACCAACTGCCTCTGCTGCCCCACCCCCAACCCCACCTTATACCTCTGAGACCAGTAAGTGCCAGAGACCTGGATGCCAAAGACCATGTGGCCCATCACGGGGGAGCCATTCTACCTGGCCAACCTGGCTGGGATCCTACACGCTCTCCTTCTGTCCAGCCTCCAGTGCCCATGCAAGGCCACACCCTTGAAGCCCCATCACCTGCCAATCCACGGTCTCCCTCACCCCAGAGGATTCTTCCTCAGCCCAGAGGCACGCTTATCCCAGACACTGTGGCCAAAGCTATTGCTCGAGAAGCAGCTCAGAGGGTGGCAGCAGAAAGCGGAAAGGTCTGGTGAAAATGGAAATGCTGGCTCACACAACACTCTAGATGCTTAATGAAAATGATGTTATATATTTTAGCACAAGTCACTGAGATTAAACTGTTGCTTTAATTTGAATTTAGAGTAGCTGAAGAAGGGAAGTGTCACAAGTTGCTAAACATAAAAGAATATTGAGCTTTCTGTGATTGTTACTATAATAAAACCTAAAGACACCGTTAACACTGTTCCATTCCTATTTACGCACACATGTTTTCAGGGTGACAGAAGGCAGGGCAGATATGGAGAACAGGGTCATTCATTTCACCAGCATCACTCTGATGAGGAAGAGGAAGACGAGGAAGGGTTTGCTCGCGGTCGACGGAGAGGACCCTCGGTTGACGAGTTCCTCAGAGGCTCTGAGCTGGGGAGGCCGGTAAGACCCGTGTGATAAGCGACACACTTTGCTTATCACACTTCTGAGCTCAAGCACCTAACGTGTGTTTCAGTGGAAAAACCTCACATGTGTGCATCTGGACGTGTGTGTGTGCATGTGCGTCTGAGGTGGTTGCATGTGTACACACTCCTTAACCCGTGTCTTTATGTGTGTTCACGTGGGCGTGCTGGCCTTATCCATGTGTGTTTGGTGTGTGCATGTATGTATGTTTGTATGCGGACTTAATCGCGTCTGTTCGTTTGTGTGTGTAACTACCAAAAGCCTCACTATAGTCACAATGAAGATTATCACAGCGAAAGCAGCCGGGGCTCTGACCTGTCTGACATCATGGAAGAGGATGAGGAGGAACTGTACTCTGAGATGAAGCTGGAAGAGGGACGTCGACGCAACTCGCACAACACACCCAAGGTGCAGTTCTTTGCACTTATCCAAGCAAATTATTATTAAGTGAACTGCACAGGCACAGATACTTCAGTTGAGACTGCTGCCTTGCTTTTGATATGTGTCATTAGTGTGTGTGCTGAGTTTAATTCAAATTTTATACAGAAAGAAAAAGCCCATGGATAGAAGGGCAGATGCAGTGGGTTTGACTATTTCAGTACCATAGACAGAGATGATGAAAGCTGTCGGGTTTGAATCTTTCCGCACTATTGAGAAAGATAGTGCGGAATATATATAAGAGAGACACAGATAGATGTAGACTGGGTTTTAGATGCTTTCAGGCACCGCTGTTGCTGCTTTCATAAACACGTGACTTTTTTTTTGCCACTTTTTTAAAGCATGTCATCGCAGAAACTACAGAAGGTTATTTTACTTCAGTGAACAAACATGTCAGTGTAGAAAAATGCAATCTTCAAAGTCTGGACCAAAGACTCCATTTGCTGCTGCCAAAAAGCTCCTTTAATTTCTCAGAAACACAGAAAGGGATAGTTTCTTTCTGTGTTTGGGTGCTTTGCAGTGAAACGGGGATAGACTGGATTTGATTAAAACACAGAGGAAAGAACTTGGAGAGCTAAAGGGTGAGACTGGGTTGAAAAGATTATCATGACAAAGGGAGACATATAGCTGAGGGGTGTAGCCTAGGCTGCACTGACAAATATCTTTGCCTTTCTTTTTTAGTAGATGGGTAGAGCGATACTAGTTATTTCTTAATTTTGGAATAGAAATATTTCCCATGGGCTTGTGTGTGTGTGTGTGTGTCTGAATGTGAGTCTACGTGTGTGCGTCTATGTTTCAGTGCTTGCCTGTGAGTACTGCATGATTTTGTTTACATACAGTTTGTACAAGTATGTTCAACATGCACTTTTTCACACGCTGTTTACGGGTATGTTCACGGTTCTGTGACAACACATGACACATGAATGCTTTGTCTGCGGATGCTTTCTATGTTTGTGTATATTTCAGACAACAACCCCTGTTGGAGGCCGCCATGATCGGGATAGTGGGAGACGAGCGCATCACGGCGGTCCCCAGCCTCAGAGACGACCCCTAATGGTCCCCTCCATTGGTCAGTATGGGCAGATGGCTATATTTTAGGTTCTCTGTCCCTTAGTGCAGTCGCATTTGCTCCTTTTTTCTTTTCTTTTTTCTTTTAAATACCAAGAAGCTCATGAAGTCTTTGTCTCCAGATCACCTTTGTGTCTGCGAACCATGCTCATCCCTTTCAGTACCTTGACTTTGATCTTCCAGAGATGGAGATGATGATGATGATGATGATTAAACCGCTTTGCACTGTTGCAGCACAGAGTGATAAGTTAATCTACAGTGACGACGGCTAGAAATATATAACTGAAAATTTGTTATCACCTGTTTTAGGAGGCAACGCAAATCTTCACTTAACATATTGGGAGGAGAAAGTAGAGCTTTGATTTGTAACCTCATCACCTTCTAACTGGTATTTTCTGTAGAGGTAACCTCTGAGAATAACAGTGAGGGAAACCTCTCTCCCATCACCGAGGATGTTTACTATGGCAGAGTAGCTCGACACAGGACCTGGTCATCCCGCAGGCACATGGGCGGCACCAGGTCTCCCCATGGTATGTGCCTGCAGTCCTGTTTTTACCACCACAGCATGGCAACAAAAGTGCCACCAGCACCTGGCAAATTGCAATAAATAGCTGTGGACACTTGCAAATGTTTTGTCTTCAAAAATAATAGTTATTGTTATTATGCTTACAGTTGAACAGCATGACCGCAATGCACTGAAATGGTGGACCCATTGGCAAACCATGCTTTGGGTCCAGGATCAACATTTCCACAGTTGCAGATGATAAATGATTGACTGTTTAGGGAATGCCTCACAACACTGCACTGAACTCCAGACGCCTGCTAAAACCCTTCCCTTTGTGATACAACCACACCCACTACACCAGTCATGCATGAAACTCAAAAGATATGACAGTGGTAGGCACTAAAGAATGACCACATTGGCATTGCTTCTTGTTTCTTTAGATGTCTGAGTTTGAGATGTTAGCTTTCTTTTATATTGTAAGCTTGTATTTTCAAGCACTGGCCATATAGTGTTTGCTAGGTGGTGCATTTTCCCAGTGTTATCGTAGCGAATCAAAAAACATACACAGGTCTTCACAACAACACTGCCGCCTCAGCTTGAGACCTCTTCTTGAGACCTCTTCTTGAGACCTCTTCTTGCCTTGAGGGTTGGCACAGTGTGGTTGTTTTAGATTGTTTGTTTCTCAGGTGTTTTGGTTTTTTTTTTCCTTTTTTCTTCTCTAAGGCTTTAGCATGCATGTCAGGGTCTTGTTTGTCGCGGATGTTGTCATGCACATAAATCACGATTTGTCTATGTATTGCACCATGGTTAGTCTTTGATGACCATTAATGGAAAGGGCACACAAATTATTATGAATGCTTACATGATTTTATGTATGAAGAAGTACTAATTGACTGATGTGAAGCATTATGAACTATCAGCGTATCAGTAACGTCATGAAGAAGTTTTGCTTAATTAACCACTAACACAACATTTTGACAGATTCACTGCTGTTATGCTTAGTTTCTTACGTCTGCAGCTCATAGAAGGGACTAAACTGTAGTACACATGAACATGATTAACGATTCATAATGACTGCAATAACTGAGTTGTTGCATTATTAATGCAGTGTGCTTATAGTTTGTGCATTTTCCTGACAGTTCATGAGGTTTTACATCAAAAAGTTATTTTTTTTCATGCATGACACCATGTACAAATTCAAACATAAAAAAAAAAAATACTATAAAATAAATAAAGTAATTAAAACACACGTAGCATGTGTGTATTTGTGGATGCATGTGTGCGTGCTGCAGAAAATAGTTCACTGGGTCACAGATTTCTTCCTGCATGGTTAGAAGCACAATCATGGCCTGATACGGAAAGTGAAATCTGTCATGCAAATACTGAATGGTCAAATCAATAAGACTTATCAGGATCCTCTCATTGATTTCTTGTGACCGGAAGCACGGCATCACAGACTTGCTTATCACAGAAGTGGCGTTCACTGTATGCAGCAATAAGTTTTGTGAATAATTTTTAATGTGGAAGTGATTTAAAATCACCGGCTGTTAAAGCTTTACTTCACATGTTTACTTCACAGTAATAGAAAAGCCACACTTTACGACATTTTATAACACAAAGTAAAGTTAATGTACAGTCATCTACTGTATTTTCCGCACTATAAGGCGCACTTAAAATTCTTTCATTTTCTCAAAAATCGACAGTGCGACTTATGTATGAATTCTGGTTGTGCTTACTGACCTCGATGCGATTTTATGTGGTAAACAGCGCTGAAAAATCTGTCAAATGTTTTAGTACGACTTTGGTAAGCTATGAAGCCGTACTGCTTGATGGATTGTTGGAGCATTACGGCTACTATAGTTAGGAGCCTCGCGGAGTAATCTGGGTCCAAAACTCAGTTCTCTTCATGTCTCAAAGTCAAACTAACACTGCGGCATCACTGAGAGTTAAACTTTAATAAAATGATCAGCATTGCTGCTTTACCAGGTGTAACAATTAAGTTTAACTCCAGGCATCCATGCAAACAGAATGTATTAAATTTAACTGAGTGGGACGTTAGCAGGAAGTTAGCTCGCTAGTTTCCACCTAAAGATGATATACCATGTTCTGACTGAGAGATTTCTGAAAAAATTAAAATGTACAGCTTTGCTATCACTTCCAACATAAATGAAGACAGGAAACTAAACAGCAGTGAAGTTGGACTAGCTGGTATATAGTGATGTGCTACGTGATTGCTAGCAACACAGCTATGCTAGCATAACATAACAACAGTGAACTGGCTCTATAAAAGTTAAGGCAAGATTCCAGATGGTTAGGGACAAATGCAATCACATGACAGGACGCTGGAAACGGACCAAACTTCAGTCAGGAGAACAACTAAGAAAATCTATCCACAATAGGAGGTTAGTCATGAATATACTGCGACAACATGGGAATAGAGCAGCTGTGAGAGAATTCAACATTAACTAGAATAATAAAGGATAAAGAGTAACAGGATCACAATCACTGGTACGGAAGTGGTGGAAGCAAGAAGAATGAGTTGAGTTTGACTTATCCAGTGTAGCCAACTCCTCAGTAAGGAAAATTGCTATTGGCTATCCTAAAAGTCGCTAAATGACGTCATCGCCTAATTTGCACAATTTATCCTGCCTATTTAATTGTAACAGACACTGTAGGAGAGAGAAATAACATCGTGGAAGAGACATAAAGTGAGTAACCCCCCCCCAAGAACCCTAAAAATATTTAGAATATTTAGAACTACAAATTAAATTTCTCTCTTATTATTGTTTTCAATAATTCCAACCCTCCTCCTTTACGCAGACTTGGGACCGGCAAAAGTGACCCGAAATAGGCACACTGGACAACACTGGACTTATCTGACTGCTTTGTTTCGCTTAATGCGCCTTATAATCCGGTGCCCCTTATGTATGAAAGCAGACTCCTTCATCGACAGTGCGCCTTAAAATCCAGTGCGCCTTATGGTCTGAAAAATGCAGTACTTTATCCACATTTCTGTAAGTCTATTGGTTGGTGAGGTTGGATAATGGGATTTTACTTTTTGTTTTATGTGCTGAAGATGGCTACAGGGATCGGGATCGCCGCTCTCCCACGTACTATGATGAGTCGGAGCCAGAGGAGCCCTTTAGGATCTTTGTGGCTCTCTTTGACTACGATCCTCTGTCCATGTCTCCGAACCCGGATGCTGCTGATGAAGAGCTGCCCTTCAAAGAGGGGCAGATCATTAGGGTGGGAGTTTCAAGTGCTTTCATGTAATGCATTCTTTCTTTTCTTTTTTTTTTAAGGTGAATTCATACTGTTAGGTAAACTATTAAACCAAGCATAAATGTCAAATGGATAAAGAAAGTAGTAGTAGCATGAGCTTTAAACATTGCTCTTTCTTATCTACCAGGTGTATGGGGATAAAGATACTGATGGGTTTTACAGAGGTGAAGTGAAGGGCAGGATGGGTCTGATCCCCTGTAACATGGTGTCAGAGATACGAGCAGACGATGAGGACACCATGGACCAGCTCATCAAACAGGGCTTTCTGCCGCTCAGCACACCTGTGGATAGAATAGGTACCACAAGAGCATACACACCCTCACAAATAACAACCATGTACAGCTTTAAAAAAAAATGGTTAGATATTGTGAGAGAAAGCATGTAACGGGACGCTTCCTGTTAAAATGCCGTTTACAATTACCTTCAGAGCAAAACAGAAGAGGCCTGCGTCGAGATCAGGCCTCCAGGAGGATGGTGGCTCTGTACGACTACGACCCCAGGGAGAGCTCTCCTAATGTTGATGTTGAGGTATTGTTTGCTGTAAAGGACAAACTGCTCAATGCTTAAGTGTTTATAGTGTAACGCACAAATATCTAACCAGCTACTACAACACACCTAAACACTTTTATATGTGCATAATTTGGTTCACAAATACATAGAAATGTGATTGTTACACAAAACCACAAAGATTGTCCAAAAATAGCACTTTTGTACTCCTTAATTCAGTCTGTTTAAATAAACTGGAACAAAAACAGGATTTTACTTTGTATTATTTGTGTATCCCTTTCTCTCTATCTCTCTAATAGGCTGAACTCACATTTTGCGCTGGTGACATCATTGCTGTGTTTGGTGACATTGACGAAGATGGTTTCTATTATGTGAGTGCTTGTCCATGTTTTTGGGGTTTCTCCTCGAGAGAACTCCTCAAAATTTGTATTAGGCACCATTTTTGATTAAACTACTCGAAGTGCTTCACCAGGTCTCATTCACACAGTCATAGATCTAAGTGCTTTCTATCTAACATTTACATCGGGCAGCCACTTGGGGTTCAGCATCGTATGCGCGGATATTTTGGCTTGCTAACTGGAGAAGAAGGGATCGAACCAATAACCTTGCGATTAATAGATGACTCTTAATAGATGCCTCTTCTGCTTGAAGCTTAGTGGTTCTGGGCCTGTCATCTGGTGTGGTCTTCTGCTGCTGTAGCCCATCTGCTAATTTTAACATGTTGCGCTCTACTGCAGGAACATCAGACTCGTTTAAAATCAAGCGAGGAAGCAGTAAGAAAATCTGTAAAACATGAAAATACATTTAAATTTAAAGCTGACCACCTTATGTTGTACTGTACTGTATACCTTGGTTCTAATCAATGGCTATGTGAGTTACTATTGTATGTCTGTTTGAAGCAGTCTGGCAATTTTTCCTCTGATCTCTGGCATCAAAAAGGCTTTTTTCTTCTTTTTTTCACAGAGAACTGGCTCTCGCTGGACATTTTCTCTCTGTGGGAACATTCTCTGTAAACTCTAGAGATGGTTGTCGTAAATCAGCAGTTTATGAAATACTCAGACCAGCCCATCTGGCTTCAGCAACCATCCCACATTCAAAGTCACTAAAATCTCCTTTCTGATGCTCTGAACTTTAGCGTATCATCTTGGTCACATCTACATTCCTAAATGAACTCAGTTGCTGCCAGTTAGATATTTGCATTGACAAGCAGTTAAACATGAGTAGCTAACAAAGTGGCCGGTGAGTGTACTTGAAACAGATGGGTAGGAAGATGAGAGAGACATGATTCAGATCAATTGGAGGCCTGACATATGTGATGTAAATGTATTAGATGTGTTTGGTCCACAGAATGGATTACATTATGTTCAGTTAACTGTGGCAGCTGTGCAGACATAGCATAATCTTATGAGTTGGTATTCTGCCAGTGAAGTTTATGCCTTCTCACCTCTCTTCATTTCTTTCCACAGGGTGAGATCAATGGCCACCGCGGTTTGGTTCCCTCTAACTTCCTGGAAGAAGTGCCTGATGACGTGGAGGTTTATCTGACTGATACTCCATCCCACTACCCCCAGGAAGAGCCCGCCAACCGGCCTCCTGCCAACTCCATCCCTGCCGTCTCAGAGAGCAAACGGGTACATCATCATCGCCGCTCTCAGCGCTAGGCCCTGTGTCCATACGTCCTCTCTTGATTTTCGTCTCTCGCTTCCTCCACTTGCCGTCTGTGTGCTGTTCATTGTGTGTGTTTGTCCATGTGGTGACAGTGGTGACTCTATACAGACTAACAACTCCCTCTCCACCCTTCACCCTTTGGAGGGGGGAAAGGGGACAAAATCCAGTGTTAACACCTTTCTGAGTCTCAGAGAAAGGAAGAAGCAAAGCCTGACATGGACAGAGAGGATAGACTGTGGGAGCTCTGCAGGTGGTATATGCATGTAACACTGGTTAAGGGAGGACTTGAAAAAGGCTCATTCTTTACACAAGATAATTTGGGGCCTCTTTGCACTGAAACACAAAATCAAATTGTGGTTATGTATTGTATTATTAAAGATAAATATATTAAGTGCTTTATTAACACATAACAATTGCTACCCAATGACACTGAAATAAATTATATTGAGAACAAAAAGACAAAAGCATGCCTTTTTCAAACTTGATACATTTTCTAGCAACTTTCTTGGCTCGACTGCTGTATTTCCTTGAAGAGGCTTTGTTTCTTTATGTATACTGCACACACATCAGATCTATTTTTCAGCCCTGGTGACAGTGGATATGCCATGTTTGCTCTGAGCTCGAGAGACAAAAAAAAAAAAAAAAAAAACTAACCGCAGCACTGAGACGTCCATACTGTACTGTTGTTACAATGGAACAATAAAAAGAAAGCAATTGGATATTAAAAACATTCATGCTCTGTGTTCATGTGTGTTGTTGGTGGTGTTGTTGTTTTCAGTTGTCATAGTGGTGTGGGTTTTACCGACAGTGACAGTGCTGCCACATCTGATTTCTTTTTTGTTTTTCCTCACCCGCTTGGCAAAACAAAACAAACAAGCAGAGGAAGATTGTTCATTTCACACCATAAATGGCTCTGTCTGCCTTGTACAGTAAGTTGGCAACTTGAGATACCAGACTCGCTGTGCTAATGCACACAGCTTGTTGCAGCAGAAGCTGTTTAAATGCCATGCAATATTACGGAGGCGCTTTTCAAGTCATTGACTTGTTTCATGATTCGAATCAGGCAGATTTGTCTCTTTGTTTGATTTTTAGCTCTCTGTTAAGTGACTCACTAAAATATTTGACTCACATTAGTGGGTAGCTTCCCTTCTGTCATCCGTAGGTGTTATAGTTACAATTTGGAATAGATTTCAGATTTCATTATAGGACGATAGCTTTATCCGAAATAGCAGCTGCTGCATTAGATGGGAAGCCTGGTATCTACAGTTGTGTCCCTGGGTGTTGTACCGTATCTGACTGTACTGTATACTCCCTCATGGCCTACTGATGATGGACTTCTTCAGCTCTGTGGTGTGCTGATGTTGTGCTCAGCATTTGATGGCTTCTTCCTCAGTTTGATTTCTGTGTGTGTGAGAGAGTGTGGACGAGGCATTACACAATGTTTTGCAGACCCTAAACTGTTTGTGGACTCAGTTAATGAGGACATGCATTATGTACAGGGACACAGAGCAAGCCTAAATAACACAAAAAATTACTTTTTTTTTTAGGTTGGGACTATGTTAAATGGCAGTTAGGATTAAGGTGAAAATAATTCTGAAGGAAAAGAAGAATTTTATCTGAAGTCATGTATTCGTGTGTAAAAACATCTTTACTATCAGTTTTATCCAGATTAACAGGCAGAGTACCTAGGTTTGGACGGCTTTACTCTGAAATATCAGTTTTTACTCCAGAGAAATAATAATGTAAAATAGTATAGAAAATATTAAACTTTTATATTAAGAGTTAATATTATCAATTGCTGAAAATAAACTGAATATTTCATATAGAACTAGAAACCTTTATTTTTTTAGTTACCTTTTGATCTGTGAAAGAATCCTTGAATCTGAAGCATGCCACATCAAGTGAGTTATTTACATGCTGTCAATCAAACATAATCGAACCCAAAACACCCAAAATTAAGATTTTTTTTTTCATTCCTCATAAATTTGTTTTCAGGGGTTTTGAGATATAACCACCAATAATGTAAACTACAGTACTGTGCAAAAGTCTTTATATTTTGCCAGGAAAATGGGATATGAAGTGATTTACTGAAATATCTGCAAACAAAGGAAATAAACTATGTAAAGGAGAAAGCAGTTTGCATAATTCTAGTGAGGTTTAAAGTTAAACATTTGGTCTGACTGCCGTTATTCTTCAACACAGCCTGAAATCTCTTACCCAAGCTTTCTTGTCATTTTCAAAGTAATCTTTAGGAATAGTTCTCAAAGGCTTCTTGAAGCACATTTAAAGCTCTTCTTTGGATGTTTGCTTCCTTTTGTTACATTCTGTGTTAATGTGAACCCACACAGCTTCAGTAATGTTGAGTTGCAGCCTCTCTGCTTTACAGATGGTCATCGACACAGACTCTTTCCTGGTCTCCCCTGTACACATTGATCTCAACATCTTAAAACATAAATTTCAAATTTGGATCGCACCACAACACCCTTTTCCTCTGATTTCCAGTACAGTTCTTTTTGTGTAATATGGGATACCTCAGTCTTTACTCCCCGTTTCCCTTTCTTAAGAATGGCTTTTTGACAGCTGCCCTTCCATTGAGGCGATATCTGATGAGGCTTCAGTGAACAGTAGATGGATCTCTCAGGTCTCTGGTAGATTTTTTCTTAAAGACACGCATTTAAGAAACTGTTCCTCTGCTGTAGAAAGTTTTTTTTTTTTATGCCTGACACTTCTTTTGTCCCCCAGTTGTCCACTTACTTCAGATTTCTTTAAGGACACTCCATGAGATATGCCATTTTTTTGGCTAGTAGCTCTTTGGCAATCACCTTCCATCTCTTTTCTTCCGGTCACTCAATTCAGGGCTGCGGAGAGTGGAAATCTATTTCAGCAGTTATAAAGCAAAAGGGAATGATCTTCTCGTTAAAAAAAAAAAGATTGTTTTATGTCTGTCAACTGTATTATTTTTGCTTTTTTTCACCTGGATTCAACAAAAGAAATAACAAATTATGTATTTTTTCGAAGTGTCAAAGTGCTAAGTTCACAACTGGTTCATCCCTCGAGTTATTTATGCTTGAAAGATTAATGAGTCAGTGTTAAGTGGCTTAAGAAAATAACACCTAATATGGTCAGGTACAAGGGCTGGACTGTAAATGAGTGGAAAAAGCAGCCAATGTCTAAACAACTTTAAAAGGGCTTTAGAAAGCCTGAAGAACTAACAATTGAGACCACTTTAAAAATGTATAAGAAAATCTGGCTCTGAACATATTAAAAAAAAGTCAAAAGGAAAATAGCTGAAAATTATGAATACAGTGAGGGACATTATTGTAAATCTATTAAAAAACAAAATTGTTTTTCTGAAATAGGCTAGAAAGGGAGCTAATTTTCATTCTTTGTGTTACTCAAGGAATCTGATCGAACTTAAAGCAGATGAAGTGTTTTTTTAAACAGCGTTTAGCCGAGGAAACGCAGAGGGAAAGGCTTAGAGTTTCAGTATGAAAGAGTTGGTTCATTTGTAATATGCTGCCCCCATGCCTCCATACCTCCCCACCACTTCTCTTCGCAGGCTACCACAGAAACTACCGAAGCCGTCAACAATGACACCACACCCGTCCGGGCGCCGTCCCCGATTGTTCGCCCCCTCCTCCCTGGAACCATGAGGCCCCTCAGCCCTACAAGGGGTCCCCACGTCCCAGTGGACCCCCGGGACTCTCAAGATCTGGCAAACAAGAAGAAGAAAGGACTGCTTTCCAAGGGAAAGAAACTCCTGAAGAAACTCTCCCCTGTGAAATAAAAGAACACAGAAACAAAATTAATGTACAGTAAGTGCTCATGCTGGGCTCGGTGTATTGCATTCATACAATCAACTCTGATCTAACAACACATGACAGAGAGGATGTGAGCTGTGTCTCCTTGACTGCTTGAGCCTATTTCAGTGCAGTGATATATATATTAAAAAAAAAAAAAAAAAAAAAAAAAAAAAGGTGGCCACAAATCGATTATGTACAGTGCAGTGCCAAAATCAAGAGCGAGGTCACTTGCAGACACAAAATCTTGTAACTATGATGTATTTTAAATCAAGGGGGTGATTAAAAAAACAAAAACAAACTAGGATTTTCATGACATGTATTTCTTCTATTTTTGTTATCATTAGGCAAAAGTAATTCGCACATTTTTTAAGCAGGGTATCAAAGCATCTGGTTATAAAACTTTCCAAAAGACTTTTCTCAGCAAAAGAAATTAAAAATAATAAAATAAAATGTTAAAAAAAAAATGGAGTATTGATGTCACTACAAGGGAGCAGACACCATGCTCCTCCAAGAAAATCTCAAAAAGACTACACTGTTATTGAGGCATTGTGTGAAGTAATGCTGGCTGCTAAAAAAATATTACAAAATCCTTTATTCAGTGCAATATCATAGAGAGATGGTAGCATATGTGGGAATAAGATTTCCACTTGTACCTGTGATTCAGCAGAGAGGATTTTTTTTTTCTGAGATGAAAGGACTTTGCAAGAGAAGAACAGATTGGCAACAGGGCATTAACGTCAGAAACACCAGGCAAGTTTAGCTGTCTCAGTGGCCTTTATGAAACAATATGAGCACGACATTCCTAGTTTGATTGCAAGGTTGACTTAACTCCAGGGTTTTTTTTCATGACGGGCCGCTTGTGCTTTGTCATTTTTGAGAATTAAACAAAGAGCGGTAATGTTTGTTGTCATCGCTGTCAAACTGTCATGAAACGCCTAGTTCAAGACGAAATTTTGTGTTTATCTTCCTATTGCACAAAGGTGGGTGTTTTGTCGGACGACTGGTAAATGATATATTTTGTGTGCCTGTGTGTGTGTGTGCGCGTGTATACTACATGTATGTATGCGATGCATTCATATTTTGCACCTTTCATGTTTGCTGTTCACTTGCTTTATCTTTTTTTTTTCTGAAGGAGAGGCCATGTAATTGTTGGTCCTGTGATCTCGTGGTGTGCTGCTACCTCCATTGGCTGTGCATTGTTTAGCTTATGTGATGTTCACTGGTGTTCAAAGACAGTGGATCGCCACAAAATGTCACATTTGTAACCCAGATGTGAATGATGTTATTATTAACTTGCTAACACAATCGTTGATAGTAAAAGCAAAGCTAGTTATTATTAGACGAGTGCAGTTAAACTTTTCAAAATGTACATTTGCAACCTTATAGACGGGTGAGGACAAAACTATTAGTCTCCCATGAAAGATGCCACTTTAAAAAAAAAAAAAAAAAAAAAAAAAAAAAAAAAAAAACATGCTATTAAACATGGCAAGAAATTTTTAACACATCTTTTCCAAACATCCAGGTTTTATTTTGTATGCTTACATTATTTTACTTTGCACACAGAAACAAAATTATGTCACAAAAACTAACAGGGTCAAAATTATTAGCCCCTCTGATGCTAATAGTCAGGTGTATTTCTTTTTTGCAGTTTTAGTTGTAGTTTTCAACAAGTCTCGCAAATGTCTCCTGTGCAACACGAGCCTTTTTTTCTTTGGCAAATCTCTCCAGTTCCTCCAGATCTCACGATAGATTTTCAGGGGGGTTCAAGTCAAGGCTTTGACAGGCCAGTCAATAACTTTCACTTTGGTCTTCAGGAGGGGGTTCTTCACCAGGAGTGATATATGTTTTGGGTTATTGTCCTGTTGGAAGACCAAGGAACGACTCAGACCCAGTGTTGCTGTTGAATGCTTGAGGCTTTGTTCAAAATCTTAACAAAACCTGTCTCGATGATGAGATTCCCATCTCCAGACACATTGAAGCATCCCCACGGCATAGTACTCCCACCACTGTGTTTCACCATGGGAACAGTCTTCTTTGAGTTGTTCACCTTGTCCTATGCATAGTTCAGTGTTGTTTGAAGATGTATTTTGCAATGAAGTGGAGTTTTTCTTGGTTTGCAACCTTGCAGTTCATCCCTGTGCAGGGTTCTAGTAACTGGCTTCTTTGACTTGGCTAAGTCATTCACTGGTCTTTAGATGCACCTCTCACTGTTTTTCTTTCCAGGGTTTTGGAAATCTTTCACTTCCTTCAGTATCTTTGCCGTGTTTCTTTGTTTTGTCGGTCTTTGAATTTCTCGGTCCAATTCTTGACACTTGGAAACGCTGTGATAACTTCGTATATCCATCTCCTGCTTCGTGAGCATCAACGATTCTTTTTCTTGAGTCTAAACTGATTTTTTGGTTTTAGTGTGATGCTTTTTCAAGTGACAGCTCAAACTTTTGCTGAAGTTTTCATACAATGAGTAAATTGGAAGACAACCCTTCCAATAAGTCGATAAGAAGAAGACACATTATTTTAAGCTTGCAAATAATATCGACCCTGGTCATTTCTGTTTTCTGAAATAATTCTGTTATTGTGGGCAAATAGAAATAATGCATGCTTTCTTAAGAAAACTAGTATGTTTAGAAACAGTATGTTGAAAATCTCTTGATCTGTTAAAAAACAACTTGGGAACATTTTGAGGCAATAGTTTTGCCCTCATCTGTAGCAGCCCATCTCTGTAGATGATTAACTTGTGTTCAAACACAAATTATGACTCAAGTTTACAGATTTTTGTTTTTCAGGCAACTGTAGACGCCACAAAATGCCAACATTTCTTATTAAGGTTTGGGTGATGCACTTTCTTTTGAAACCAGTGAGGGACATGCTCATAAAGCCTCTTAAAGCCTCATAAAAACTGGAAATCAAAATGTTAAGATGTGCATTGTTCTCTGGTTTTGTTACATCTACCTGCTGTCTGTGGAGAGAAATATGAATTTTTGTATCATGACCTGTACTTTCATTATATAAAGAACTATACTGTGCTGAATCAACATGTTAGCTAATATGCAGCTATTATATAAGAAGATATGGTACATAATAGATTTTTACTTTATTCCCATGATATTGAATTATATAAAAAAAACAAGTATGAAGTGATTCCACTTAATACAGTCAATATTTTATTGCTTTTCTGTTTGTTTGTTGACTCTCTGAATGTTTAATATGTTTAATCAAGTCCTCAAAAGCAAATTTAGTTGCACAATGCCACTGAAAGATTGCCACCATTAAAGTATGATCAGATCAGCAGAAGCTTAATATCCTGCAGATTGTTGAGCCGACTGTCTAATTAGTCAGTTTCTTATTCAATGAATTCTTAGTGTTAATGCTGCACAAACAACAGACCAGGCTTCACAGAGGGAGAAAAATATAAAAGAATCAGAAGCTGAGTTTGTGTGTGTAATTGGTGAAAATGAATGCCAGACAGTTCATTTTCTTTCTCTTCTCTTTTAAGTAGTTTGAAAGTGGCTTCCTGGGTTTAAATTATATCCTTTGGTGGTGTGGATATCCTCTTTGATGGGGAAAATGTAGCTTAGCAAGCTGAACAAATTCAAAATGAAACTGTTGCAATGAAGCAAAAAAAAAGGAAGAAAACACATCTTATTTTTTCTCTGTGCTTGCAAACACAAATTTATTTGACTTTTTATGGGCGAGACCATTTTTTCTGGGTTTTGACTTTTAAACATTTAAGCGTTTCCATATATTTCTTATGCTCAAACTGGCTGGTGTAATGAGATCCATCCCCCAGGAATGGACTAGCTTTAAATGGCAACCCACTGCTTTACTTTTCAAGGTGACAGGCGTGTGTTAATTTGACAACATTATTGAAATAAAGTCTTAAAAATGAACTTGAATTATTGAAAGAAAGACCCCGCTTCATCTATAAGCATTCTGTGTGCTTTGGAGAGGATTACTGGAGCTCACAAACATAATTACTACCTGGCATAGCTTTAAAAAAAAAGACTAAGTTTCTATTATTATATTTAGTTATAAACATTTATTATGTCCCAATCATCTTCTGTGTTTCTTATGTGAAGCTGCATTTAACAGATGAGCTGGATGTGGGTTTGTTTTGTGGCACAGGGTTCCTTCATTCGTGAATATTGCTGAGGGCATGCAAAGACATGAGAGGTTAGCCAAAGGGGAATTTAGGCTGGCAATCAGTTTACATTTCATTATTTTCCAAAGCTGTTTATGTATAGTTTCACTTTCAGTCTTTCACAATGTTGAAATTATATGGTGTTCCAATACCAAATCATTCACTTGTGAATGGGCGTAGTGTTTCGAAACGCTGTAGCTCTTTTGTACTTCGATTCATTTGTAGATAATTTGTAAATGTTTCTACTTGATTTTACGACAGCCTTTTTTTTTTCAGTGCACTGAGATTTCCTCTCGTAAAAAAACAAAAAAAAAAAAAAAACTGCAAGCATTCTCCATAGTGTCCTTTGAAATCACATGTATAAGCCCACCGTATGTGCTTGCTTTGTGAATCAAGATAAAACAAAAACAAAAACAACAAATCAACGAAAAAGAAGAAAAAGAAATCACTGGACAGTATTTATGGTGATTAACTATGTGTGGGTGTGCATGTGAAAAATACAACTTTTATAACCAAATTAAATTTGATATTTTTTAAAAACTCGTGTCATGTGTTTTTCTTTACATGGCAGGTTAGATTTGCAGTAGTTCCTTGTTAATATAGCAAACAATAATAATTCTTAGGCGACTCTATAGTAATACAAATACCATACAAATTATGGTCATTCATTTGAGTCTCACACATACAGGGAAAGATCAGGGTTTTTGGTTGAAATAGAGGATCTTTGTTGCCACATTTCCAATTATAAATAGACGGTCAGAATTACCATTTGCCACTAGATGGTGCAATAAATCACAAGAGAAGGTAACAATGATTTTTTTAAAAATCTTTTATGAAGGACAGTCACAGTGGATCACTTATAATTGTAGAACTGACTGTTAACATTAAACGCTTTGCTTAAAAAACACTAATGCAGACATTAACTGCAATATAGAGTCTGCAGGAAATAACTGAAGTACTATTAAGTACTATTCAGAAGTGAAGTGGCTGCAACAGCTGGCCTGGGTTATTACTGACTCTGCATTAATTTTCACTTTAATG